AATGCTCAGTTAGGATAGAAGAAGTAAATGGAGTGAAATAAAAATAAAACGATATGGTTAATAAAGCAAGTATTCATCATTTTAAAAAGGAAGAAGATAATATAAAAGATCAAATGAAGCATGAAGAATGAATTGGAAACTCTCTGTAGAAAACAGATCCTCAAACTGTGACTTATGGGAAATTTACTGATGGTCTGAAAAGTGATGATTTGCTAATGGCACCAGTTCATCCATCTTCTTTTCCAACTATATCACATTTTTTTTTCTAAAATGTTATTGAACATAGAATTGTCTATGTGATTGGGAAGGGGTATGCATGATGCTTGGTGATAGAAAAGCAGTGGTCTGTAAGAAAAGACTCAGGAAAAAAACAAACAAAAAGCTTTGTAAGGCTTCTTTGATAAAATGCAAAAGGATAAGACACTAGGCATTAATCTAGTGCCCACCTTTCACTAAATCTAACATTGAACTTGGAAGAACATTTGCAAATAGAGGCTAATGAGGGCATATAAACAATCTAGAAAGTCTATTGTAGGATTAAAGATAGGCTTAGAAAATCTTCAACATACTGAATGTTTAAGCCTGTTGCTAGGTAATGATGACTGATCGAACATAAGCTTTTTGCTTTATAATTCTGTCCCTCATAGAGATAGCCATTTGGCACTCTTAATGTATAGCTAAATGACATCTGTTATGAAAAGCACCACAAGTATCTTTACCCAAACCTGCCAAAGCGTGCTATCTTTCAATCTAGCTACCAGGAAGTCCATCACTTTCCATTAACGGCCAAGCTAAAAGCTTGCTCTTCCCCATTACATCTCAGTGACAGATATATTTGCTTTCTACTTGGGCAAGTATAATTCTTCTTTCAAATCATAAGTTTCCATGGTCAAATTACAATGTGCTTTCACAATTTGGTTATCTATTGCAGCCAAATCAGCATCAGAAAATCTTTGAGAAAAGTGGAGATGGCAACTACTAAGTAGGTGAGGTGGGAGTCACACAGATCATTGTCTATTACTGAAGTGGTTTGAGGCTTCAGTGGAGGGTGCATAGAAAAATAAAATGTAGAATTATTTTAACTCACAGCTAAACACAGAACACCTCTGTTTCTGCATTAAACTGATGTATTGAGTTAAACTGATGTACCACAATTGATTTTAGCAGTAATATAGCAAATTCACTGCTTCCATTTGTCTTTATAACACCTCAATGAAAAAAAAATAAAAAATTAAGTCCAAGTATCTCTAAGAAACTCTGWTATATTTTGTAGTACATGAGCTGAGCAACCAACTACTTTCAAATATTTAGTCTTTCTTTTTTTTCCCCTTGTTCTAGAAGGCTATATTTCCAAAAGCTGCTTATTTTTTTTCCAACATTAAAATATATTACTGTTTCCTACATTTTTTGGTACCTACAACACCCTATGTGAAGGTCCTGACACCTTCACAGCTACCAGACTATGAGATCATAAAACATTAGAAGCAGGAAATGATAACAAAAGGCAACGTTTAAATCATATGGATACAATGCATTTCTTAAGCTGTGCATATTTCTAACATCAGATCACAGCTGCAGTGTGATTAAATGAACAGACAAGAGAGTATTCTGCTGTCATTGTAGCAATGAGGAACTGCTGGAAATATCTGAATACTTTTGTGGATGGAAGCTATGAATGTTTCACTGAGTAACACTATAATGCTCATCTGTGGCTTCTGTAGGATGCACTGTTTGTCTACTCTAATACTTCTGGAGAGGTTCTTTTTTAGAAGATGTTCTGGAATTATTTCCTTGTTTGGCTCCATGACATCTGAAAGTCTGTCACAAGTCACTAAGAAGCATTTCTATATCCACTGTAGTGAGCCTCAATAATTACTGCTGTCTTTATATATCTATCCAAATTATTTCTCAACTCAATTAGAAAAAGCAAAGTCTACTCTTTCAGGTCTCCTTAACTGATGATGGATATACAGACTGGACAACTGAGTCTCCTTCTCTGGAGGTCTTCAAAACCCGCTTGGATGCCGCTCTGTGCCATGTGCTCTAGGTGACCCTGCGTGTGCAGGGGGGTTGAACTAGATCATCCCCAGAGGTCCCTTCCAACCCTAATGATTCCATGATTCTATGACATTACAAACACTGTCTAGGTTAGGTGGAGTTACAATTCAGTTCTTGGTTAATTAACCTATGAATTCTTCAACTCAAATTCAGTTCATGGTCTCTCTACTTGTTCATAACCCACTATATCTGTACAGATTCTGTGTACCTAGGAATGTGTCCAATGCTGCCATCAATTCCCCAATGATAACATGAATTGTTCAGAAAGATTTAGAATTAKCTTAACATGGTTAAGAATAGCACAACCTGGATGTTTTCATATTAATTTTTCATGTAACCTGATCKGGGGTGCTGCTTTTACTCTATCCTGTAAGTTACTTTACTAGCAATATCAATTGTAATCTACTTATTTTTAACTCTGATTGAGAGTCAATTCTGTGTGTATCTGTGAAGCATACCATACTTCAGAAATTCCAGCAGATGTGTGAGAGATTTCATTTCAGTTTTCACAGCCTCAACGGGCATAAGGAGGCAGAATATGGCACAAAATTTGCACTTGAATAAAAATAAAATATTTATTAAAAACTAATTATTTCCTCAGGAGTCCCATTTTCATTATCGCTAGCTCAGGAGCTTGAATAAACTCACTAATTCCATCTTTATAGATATTTTATGTATGTTTAATCTGGTATGTTTAACCTAGAAACCTAGACTGTATGTCTAAAATTCAATTCAAAACAGGTCTGCTGACTATATTCTTCTTCAGSTTCAGAAATATATTTATAAAATCTATGTGACTTTGAGTTTACATTAAATTTTGAGGGATTAAGAATACCAGCCACATAAAAAGCATTTGTTTTGGTTTTGAGAGTGCCACTGATGCATCTCTAAGGTATGTCTTTCTAAAACGGCCCCAGATTTCTTTTTTTTTTTTTTTTTTTTTTTGTGGATTAGCATGTAAAGCTCTAGATTCTAATCAGTAAAAAGTTTTTAATGTCTGCAAATGATTTGACTGTGACCACAAAAGCAAAATTGTCAAATTATGCTTGCACGCAGTAGCTGTTTCTCTTTTTTTTCTTATGAGCAATGCTAGCTAACACATTCTGTCTAAGTTGTACCCCAATGGGAGATGCAGGTGAGGAACAAGGAAGTACTTCTCTGGTTACACACACTCCCTCATTCCCTCGAGTTTTCAGCTCCTGGACTACCTCTCTCTTGAGAATGCCCCAGGAGGAGCAGCCTCTCCACAAGTGGAGCTCCTTTGTGTCCTACCTCACTGGGGCCAAGAGAATTGGGAGAATTGTGCTTGTATGTTTGTTTGTTATGGTTTGTTATGACTTTTAGACCTTTTCCAGTACTTTTTCAGTGGAAATGTCAGGAAAGCTCTTTCCATTTTCTGATCTTCTGTGAGGCCATGGCTACACCTTTACCATTCTTGGTCCATATGGCTGACTGGCTAGCATGCAGAGGAAGAATGGAGAAGTACTGTGGGCTGTCCAACTGTTCCCAGACCAAAGGTCCAGAGATGCTTTTCAACATACATGCATGTTTCTGTGCTGATCTCAGTGCAAACCAATCAGTCTTCATGGTCAATGGGATGACACTACAGAAACTTGAATAACCAGCATCCTAATTCTTATTTGCCCTTTCCAGACTGCTGTCCCTTATGCATGGGAGAAGAGGTTATTGGGCTGTGCCAAACCGGCCCTGAAAAGCAGAGGTCAACATCCAGCCTTCAGTGTGGYTCTCTGCTTGTTGAAAATCTGGCATCCAAACTCATTAGACCTCCTACAGTCATGTGGGTTTGGTAATTCCACCAATGGGCCRTAATCTCCCTTGTCCAAAACTTCCTGTCTTTGGGGAAAGATTATCCTAGGTCACAAACACAGGTCAAGTGAGAAAAWGGTGAGATGATGGGCAAGCAAGAAGCAATCTTGACCTCTAAGCCGTGCATGTCTTGAATAATTGCTCCTAGGTGAGGCAATTTTTCTTCTGAAACTTGATTGTTCCAGCATCCATCCAAGATAAAGCAAGTCCTAGAAAGAGTCTCCAAAGTTGTGCTGAGAAGCAGCAGCACAAGGCAAATAGAAATTCTGTGTGTATGATTTATGTTGGTATGATTGGGTGGGAAGCCACAGAGTGTTTCTACTGGGGACAGCTCAGTGTAAAGCAGACACAAGAGACCATTGAGTCAAGGACTACTCCAGGGGAGATGTGCTGTAAATGAGGCTTGTTTACTGCAGAATAGGGCAGTTACATACCAGGTTCAGGACTCCCAAGTTTCACACATCATTGTTGAAGTCCTATGTAATGCTCAGTTCTCACACTATAAGCATGTTACTTCTCTTTTTCCTATGTTCTTACATACTGAGATTTTTTTCCAGACATCCAGCTGCATATGCAGATTTATACATTTAATAATGTTTACATAGAAAGTTTATAATGTTTATTTGGTAAGTTGGACCTGAAATGCATTGAACCTAGAATGCATGCACCATACATATATCGACATATACTCAGAATGACTCCAGAACAAACACTGCTTTCTACAGAGCTTAGCTGGACTCAAATTCTGTGTGCATCAATTCGTCTTGCTCTCTAAGATTTCACCTGAAACAATTTTAAATCTGCTTTTCTTTTCAGGACACAGTCCTCAGACAGAATGGGGCCAAGGCCCATAGAATTTCTGGAAGATCCTACTGATTGCTCTATGAGGCTGATTTTAACACAGATTTTAAGTGCTTTACAGCCTTAAAATTAGCTAAGCAGGAGAAATAGAGCACAAGAAACATAAAGGCTCCTTCAGGGAGAATTTTCATTGTAGTAAATTAGAAAGTTCCATATTTCACTGACAGCTTTCTGACCAGCGTTACTCTGGTGAAGTCTCTCTCAAAAAAAAAAAAAAAATTGGGAATTTTTGGAAAAAGATTTCAAATGACAAAGCATTTCTACACTGTTAAAAATAATTATGCTGGCTCAATCACTGTTGAAAAATGTGTACCATTGTTATAGGTACACAAAAGATGGCAATCACATTGCTTTCTCTTAAGTAAACTCGAACTAAGTAAACTGCAACTGCTATGAACAAATGTAAGGTTGCAGAACAGGAATAACACAGAGGATCTGCCACTGCTCATGGCCAGATGGCTTATGATAGGAAATGCTTATTATAACTGCTGAAAAATTAAGTAGTTACATCATAGGGAAGTTCGCAGTGGATGTGGTGGATCCTTTTCATAATGCCTTCCAAAAAGGGTCACTGTTAAGAGTGGTTTCGATGGGCTATGCTTACTTTTCAGTCGTCCATCACGCAGCACCTGATTGAAGAAGGTTGAAGAACAATATTAATTTTCCACTAACAGAGCAGCAATATCACATTGTATAGAAAGGGCTTACAGTTTAAATATTCTCATGCAACACTCTAGTGTCAAAGACAACCATGAGAATAAAACAAACCAAACTTCTCTCCAACTCAGGCATGGAAATGCTCTTGTACTTAGGTCACTAAAATAGAGCTCAGAAAATCAAAGTATAGTTTTCAGCTCTGCCATGACTTTTCCACATTTCCTTGGATCTGAAGCTCTTTAAAACTCACTCCAGCTCCATCTCTGTAGGGAAGAGCATTTTCTCTGCCTCATAAGAAGGCAGGATGATAAGAACAGATTTGTTTTCATCAGTTACTCAAGCATAGTCACACATATATATAACTATGTCTATATAGATATAAACACAGAATATCAATTTTAAATTTTCTTCAATTTGTAGATTCCTAAACATTTTCCGTGTGGAAATACAGAGAATTTCAGTCCACTGGCCATATGTTGATTTTCTAAGGTACTTTCTACTAATCAATTTAAAATCACTACTATAGAGAGACTACATATAACTGCAAGTTTTAAGAGTCTTTGTGACAATCATAAAGCATGTATTTGGTAAGAAAACATAAAATATTTGTAATTAATCCATGATCACACCATAGTGTATCTGATAATCCTTTGATGCACGTTTTTTAAAAAGTCCCACTCAAAACAAATATATGGCAAAAGCAAGCGGTTTTCTATTCTCAAACTTATAAAAAGATCATCCCTGCTTCTCTATAAACTCTTCAAGCCTCATTTCATTGCCTTCATTATCTTTTCCAGGTTCTTAAAGAGCTTTTTCCAATTAATTGGTAGTTCATCTAGCCTCTTACATAAACTTAATCTAAGACTTATGCCTGAAAATATTTTCTTGGCAAAAATATTTAATGAAGTTTCAAATTAAAAAAAAAATCCCAAAAAGCTTCAAAACTCCTTTTTTTTGGTTTGTTTTTTGTTTGGTTTTTTTTTTTTTTCTTTTTTTTTTGCACAGGTTATCTACCTTTTTGCATGATACTTAATAGCAATCTTTCCTGCTTGGACAACTGCATCACAGAGTATCTGATTTCTTTGTCCCTTAAAATGCTCATCAACAAAAACTTCTAGAACACAGTTCTCTGAAACCTGGTTTTAGAATCTGAAGTAAGAATGCACATTTGCTACAGAAAACGCAGAAGAGATTCTCAGCCTTAGCACTTTCATCTCTCCTCAATAAGGACAAACTCAATCAATGCATCTAAATGTCCTCTTGCATTACAGTTCTTAGAATCAAAGAAAGTAGCTTTTGGATTTGTTTGACTTTCTCACTGTATCAGTTACTATTCCCTTGCCAAGATCTGGAGAATCTTATATAAAACAGCTTGGTGATACTCCTTTACCTCAAATTCTCCAGGGGCCAGCTGAACCCCACTGTACAGGACCTCTGGGAAGACGTATTTTGTGCCAAACGTGCCGCTCAGGGAGAACATGTCAAACTTGGTCTGAGCAGTCTCCACTGGCTGCCCACAGCTTTTCTGGTCTGTGCTTTTACACTTCAGCAGTGTGCAGATCTGTGGGAGAGAGGATACGGTAAAGCAAGTTACCTCTCAGCTTTAAGTAATCAGGAGCTGGATCTGAGAGTGCAAAAAGCTCTCATGATGGAGGAATGAACAAATGCTTTGGAATGATTCATTTAAGCCACATGTTTCCTCGTGCACTTTTGGCGCACACTGTTTTTAAAAGATTTATCATTGTTTTCCTCAAAAATAAAATAAAAATTCAATGCATTCATTAATTTTACTTTGGTGTCTTAATAGTCACCTAGAAAATATATCTCATACTCACTTCCACTGAATAAATTACCTGCCAGTGGTATTTTATGACAGAACCATGAAGACCATCAAATGCACCCAGCACATAAACTTCATCTTTACTCTTGTCTGACATCCTATAGCTCAAATGACAGCAGAGGTCTTTCTGACAAACAGTATAATTTCCTGTTTTGTGTGTGAGTTCAGTGAAAGTGAATACATCACGCCGGACGGCTCCAGTAAAAGTGTTTTGTTCTTCTGGAATTTTTTTGATGCTTGTAGCATACCAGCTCCAGTTGACAGCAAGAGTGTACATAGGAGAAAGATGAGGGCGCGAGCTCAGCTCTGCTATCAGGAGATGACCCTCCTCAGTTTCTGTGTCATAGTGATATGCTACAGGGCCTTCTGGTGTGAAGATCCCACTTCCTGTAAATGATACACAAAAAACACTATGGGGCAGCTATACGGAAAAACTGAATACACATTCAGAGCTATGTAAGCTTTTTAACATGTACATTTGAAAATATTTAAAAACAACAAATAAAATGTGCCTGAAAAGTATTTTAGAAGAATTTTTAAATGGCAGAACTACTAGAATTGGTTTATGTGCATCATTGGTTCTTGAAAATAAAAGTCTAAATTCTAAATCAGAGCTCCRTAAGTGTCATATTTGCGAGGGAAAGAAATCATAGAGATAATTACATTTCATAGAAAGAAATCTAGCACTTTGGCCTACACTCAACTCAGTGTGCTTAGAACAGACAAAAATATTCCTTTGTGGCTTCTGCTGCTCTGTCAGGTAAGAATGCAGCTACAACAGTGTTTCTCAGCTTCTAGAGAAAAATATTGAAGGAAATATTTATTTATATCCAAGGAAAACATACATATCTCTAAATTTTCAATAGTAATAAACAGCAAAAAAAACCCTGAAAATATTTTATTCAATACCCTCCTTTTGTTTTTAGATTTACAAATTCTGTTTAGGACATTTGTTTTCTCACTTTAATTGCTATTTTTTTTAAAGTCTGTCTCAACAAGCGGCTGAAAATTTAAGTGAAACTTAGTTGCATTTTGAAAAAAAATCAATTTTAAAATAYCAGAATGCAATGTCTCCATCTTTCTAATTACATCTCTCCTAGAACATTCAGCATTTATTGCCTGAAATTATTTTCTAAATTCAATACAGGATCAAGAATATCAAGAATACTGCAGTTTTCTTATTTTTTTAGAGACTTCAGTATTTGTAAAACATTTTTTGCCTGTTTCTGCTTCCTGTACCATTAAGATAATTTCTCTTTTACTTAATGCAACCCACCTGTCATTGCCATGCCGATGTTGTGTGTATTTGCAGAAAGCAAATTGACACCCATGCCCATAGCCCAGGCAGAGTGAAATTCAACAGCAGTCAGAAAGGGCAAGACATTCATCCAGGCAGTTGGGAACAACACAGTGTCCACCTGTAACTCATTCACCAGAACCACCGCAGGGTCATGGAAAAGTATGTCGAAGCAAGTGAAGATGCCAAACTTCCCAAAGGGTGTCTCAAAAGTGACAGTTTCTGGCTCTTTAGGGAAATTAAATTGAGTTTCTCCTCTAAAGAGGTTATACTGTAGACCAAGAAAAAGACATACAAGAATTAAAAATAATATAAGATTACAAGTAACTACTGTTGTGTCTAAAACTGCCTTAAAGAAGAATTCAGGATCTGTATCTCTACTAGTCACTGAAATGTCCATTTTCAGACCCTGAAGATCTCCTGAAATGGCTAAGCAAAAACAATAAATTAAAGCTAGTAAAGATCCGGCCCACTAAAATTAGGTAACAAGCACAGAAGTTGTAGGTACACTAAAGTGTATGGGATATGGCACCTGCTTACATCACACCTGKCTCTATAAGCCATGAGGTGCCCTGAGAGACACCTAAGATAGAGATACCCAGTGGGATGGCAGACTGAATGTGCATCAGCATCCAGCATCCTGTGGCTGTGAGTCCCACAGCTGCTTCATAGTAAAATGTGAGTGCTGGCAGTGTGCTCTGAGTGAACTCCTCCTAATGCTCCTCACGGCCTGGCCTCCCGCTCCTCAACTCTGCCGAGACATCACATTGACTAGAAGTCTGATAACCATTTCTGTGTATGGAAAGATGCTGCCTTCTGTTAACCATCAATCACGTATGTAGACTTGTTTTATATGTTTTACAAATATTGGACATGATTCCTGCAGCTGAAGTCCTCCTGGGAATCATGAYGAATTGACCATGTTCTTGCCTGTTTTTCGTGTTGGCCACAAGATGTTTGCACTGGATCATCAGGGACTGGTTGTTACTCAATGCTGACATAAAATTATTGCATTAAACTATTAAAACTAGTGCCAGAAAGACAATAAATACACAGATAATCAGTAACAGTTCCCAGTCCCCTTTGCTCTTCTATAATATACAATATTGAGGGAAAGTCACTCAAATTGCAAATAAGACTGAAATCAAACATATAGGTAGAGGTAGAAAATACTAATTTTGGATTGTTTTCCATTCACAGAGGTTTTTGAATCAAGGATCTTTGTAGTATGTCCTTTCTAAAGTACTGGGATGGTTATACCAAGCTCATGGAAATCYTGACATTTGCACTGGAACTCAGCAGAGCTCTGATGAGCTTACTGGGATCTTTCCCTCCAGACYTTCCTGCAGTACCAAGTCATGACATTTCCGAACAAAGGAAAGAGTGGAGCACTTGATACTTGGGAAACACCCAATATTTAAGAATTAGAGGGTAAAGGGATTTTTCTTAAATCAAGGAGTTACCTATCTGATACTATTATCTGTATTTTAGGACAAGAGGAAATGGCCTCAAGTTGCACCAGGGGAAGTTCAGGTCAGATATTAAGAAAAAGAACTAGAGTTTTGGGGGTTTGTTAAACTGAGAAAGTCTGTCAAAAATATCTGCCACTGAATGGGACCTGAGCAATCATTTTTCATTCTAGTCTGTTTTTACAAACACAAGAAAATGCAGCTTTACAGTCAATATATCCCACCAAAAGAAATATCCTTTAAAATTACAGACACACACACACACACACACAAAGGACAACTGAATGGCATTAAATTCCCTTTAAGAAAGCGGATATACTGGAAACCATGGAAGAGTAGCTCCCGTCTTTCCTAAGCCATTTCTTACCTTATGATAACGTGCTACTAATTTCCCTTCYGAGTCAAAGACAACATCCGTGTTGTACTGATAGCGACCATCACTGGGGCAGCTGGGGTCACTGGAGTCACACAACTTCTTGTCGCCAATGTTTGCGGCCACATAGATAGAGTTATTCCTYGCCATGCAGCTGAGTCGTTCCAGCACTGGAGCAGGAGCAAATCTAATATTTGTAGACCAAATAGAACAGAACAGAAAGAATGAGCAGGCTGGTGTGCAGGGCACCTTGGGACAYGGAGAGAGAGCAGCAGTGGCTGCAGCTTTCCTGCACGTGCTTCCCAACCTTGGGGCAGGTGCTGGATCCCTCCCACCAGCACCCAGGGAAAATGCCCGAGGRGGCTCTCGGGCTGCCCCTGAACCGCTCAGGGAATATAGGTACAAGGCAGCACACCACTGGCTATCACATCCTGGCTGAAACGTGGTGCCCAAATGACTGATCATTAGACTGATCAGTTAGAGCAGGAGACAGAGCACGGGAGGATCTTAACTTAACTGTGGAAAAAATATTTTGGAATTTCTGGGTTTGCACCACTCAGCGATTTAGACATTTGGACTTTGRCTAATGAAGACATCATTCAGTTATCGGAAAGTARTTTTCAACTAAAAGRGTTGTRTRCTTTTATTTGCACATAGCTTTTCCAGCAGTAAGTAAAGAGAAAATAAGTAAACATTTGTACAGCAAAGAAAATGTAAAAATATAACCCCAAACTTTTGTTAGAAGATTCTCAATTAGCTGTAATCTAAGCAGGGTAAGAAAAAAAAAATGACAGCCTAATGAGTAGTGGTATATTCCGGCAAGAATYTTCTAAATGCAAAGAGGAAGTKTCCATCACACTTCACAAACAAAATTCCACACAAGTAAAATTCCATTAAAGGAATTCTACTTTAGYTTTGTTTAAATTTACCTTGATATCATCATATCATATTATGCAATTATTATTGAAATTTGTTAATTCTTTTAATATCAAGCTAAGTTCTACATAATTATTGAGAGCAGCTGACTTCCTTATGAGACACTAGCTTGGAACCACATCAATCACCTCTTGGGATCCGTGCAGGGAATCCAGTTGACCTCCGGGTCAGGAATATCCTCCAGGTAGGGGTAGATGGTTTCCCTGGTGAAACGCCAGCCGTAAATGCCGTCTTCAGGAGTCACGATGATGTGGGCACCCTGGCAGGACAGGCTCCGTTAACGCTGCTCRGGGCACCAGGGAATCAGCCGAAGGGAARGCACAAACCGACAGTGCTGTGAGCCCATGGAGTACCTGCTGGGCGGCTTCCTTGATGGCCTTCTCCAAGACGTCCATGTTCTTGTTCATGAGTGCCAGCGCATCCTCGGGAGAGGGAGGYGCCACGGYRAGSGCTGGCAGGATCACCGCGTGCTCGTACACAGCYGCYRTGAAGCGGCCCGAGGCAGCGGCCTGGAGCACGAGGAGGGCCAGGACCGTGCCCTGCGCCAGGGGCTGCAAAGCGACCATGGTGGCTGCCTCCTGCTCCCTAGGGAAACGCACAGGCACACRTGGAAACACAGCAAAGGGTACATACACACGAAAGAAAAGGGTAACCTTTAGCTTAAAGAAAGGAGGGTCAAAGGACCAACCTGGTAAAGCGTTAGCTACCTCTGTGGTGGCAAATGGGAAAATCCATCACACTGTAAGGATGTTTCAGCTCAAGATACCTGAAAACTGGCCACTTAAATAGGCAGTCACAAAACTGCTGACAATGCCAAGAAGAGTTGTGCCAGCACAGAAAGAAGTTATCAAACATGTGACTTTCTAGAAAGAGTTGTCCGAGTTCAGTTTTCATGTGTTTCTCTGCCAATAATTTCAACACATTCTTTGCACTGCACTTTCTTTGGCTCAGCTTTGATACTCAGATAAAGGGTAGATTTACCACCCCTGGAGCGCATGTTTTATGAACTCTGAATGGAAAAAATGAGGACTCTGAGAACCATTCCCTTTAATGCAGGGTCTTTAAGCTCCTCACCTCCTGAGCTATGCGTCACTGTTTGTAGCTTGCTTCCCAGAATTTCTTTAGATCCAAGTCATTATGTTTTCCCATTATATTTAGAGGAAATCTACTTAATGGGCCACTGACAGAACTGTCCCTTGCTTTTATTCCACTGACTTCTGCAATAGAAATTAAAACTGAACAATATATTTAGAAAACTGACAAGAAGAGGACAAAAAAATTACTGTTAATTAAGTTAACTCTTAAAGAATAATTAAAAAAAAGAGAGAGGCAATGGCCTGGAGCACGAGGAGGGCAAGGACCATGCCTGGCCCAGCGGCTGGAAAGCGACCATGGTGGGAGTCTTGGTGTTCCTGGAAGTGGGCAAGAAGTATGTAAAGCAAACAGAATTTGCTTTGGAAATAATTATCTAGTAAACCATCTGGAAAAGTACGGTATTGTACTTCTGCTAACTCATTCTGTATAAGATCATTCATTTATTAGAAAAGGTSTAAGAATCACATCTAGGAATTGCATTTCAATTAAAACGCTGATGATAAATAAAAGGCTAAATGGTATTCTGAAACGATACTGTTCTATAGCAGTCTTGCTGGAAAAAGTGYTTTCAAAAATTGTTTTTACATGCCTTTTCCAGTTTCCAAACCTCATCTCTGGGTTACATGTCCAGTTCTACATGGTTTTATCTGCTGATCTCACAACATTTGAACCTACATTTAGAAATCCCCTAACATTTAGAAATTCAGTAGAGGGTGAAGGCAGATAACCGGCATGAAGGACAGCCCTCATACTTCAGATCGTAGCTTATACATTTCCTATATGAGATATAGGGACCCATCTTACCTTTTTCCTTTGCCAATAGGTTATATACTGCAGCAATTTCCCTAAGAATGCCCTCCCTCACACATTCATAATGATCTACACTAAGCCTTAAACTCTGTTAATCTTTATGTCTAGACCTTGTCATAGAGGAGTGGTGTACTTCACTTGTAAAAGCAATATGTTTTGTTGAGATCAATGGCAAGTACGAAGGTGCTTTAACAAGATTCAATGGCAAGATATATTTGTTTATTTACTACTTAGAGGACACGGTCAGATAAAATCATCCACGAGATCCTCCTGTGGAGTCATGAGGTTGAGCATGGACCCCCTTCCTTTACAAACGCCTGAGAAAAGTCTGGGTGCAGCTGGATACAAGTCCAAGMCTTGGTTGATGATTTATGTCTATAGGATTATGTGCACAATGAATCAGAGCTACAACTTGGCAAAGTTTGCCAAGTTGCACTATGCTATTAATCACTTACCAAGGATCTGGCAGGTAAGGAATCTTTCAACCTCAAGGAATAACCTTTAGATAAGTCCCTGCTCAAGGGCAGATCCTGGCATGCAGCACACTGCCATGCCAGAGAGTTCAACAGGCGATCCCTATTTATGGGGTAAGATGATCGACTCATAGTCATATTTGCATACCAGACACATTTTATTTGGTGCATGCTCAATTAGCCCTTGACGACTGTACTCTTATCTCTCTCCCCAGAGTCAAATTGGCCGGATGCAGCCATCACAACCGGACGCAACCATCATGACTGTAACGGGTGATTATTGCCCAAGCAGTGTTTGGTCAGGTGGAGGTAAATAGGGAAGCAAACAGTCATACACCTGAAATAGTTAACTGCTTTCTGAAAAATAATTAAATCTTTTTATTATTTTTTGATATGAAAATTTTGCAGTGACTGTTCTGCAAATAGCACACTACTACTACTATAGTCTAATTTTTTGGTCATAGAAGATCCTCTATTAGAATTGTATCTCTGATCTTGCATAGCCAGGCTAATGATATTTACTGTTCAATAAGAAATTAAGGAAAAGATTTCTCATCTCAACAGTATCTGCCTCTTTACTGTGTGATTTCACCCTGAAACATTATTTTGTTTCAAAGGCATCTTCAGGAGAAACAGGTATTTTAGTGTCCTCTGACAAGATGACATTGTGCTCATAGCTGCAATGGAGCCATCCAGGGCACAGGACTCAAGAACAAACAGGATAAAAGGCACAGCAGAGGTACGAGCTTTAGAAAACTCCACCCAAAAGGAGGACAGGGCAAGTAAAAATGAGTGACTTTAATAGGGAGAGTCTTGCACAAAACTGGCAATTCCCGGCAGTGCCAGAAAGATGACACCGAGTGGTGCAATCGTCATGTCCGGAAAGTTGCAGGGCATCAAGAGTCACAAAAATTGAGCAATTCTGTGTTTACAGCACAAGCAGAGCAGGCACCTCTGTGTACAGCTAAAGAAACACATCACTTGCTAGATTTGAGAAGGATATAGATGTGGATACAGGACCAACGCAATACAGGAATTTCTAGAGTGAGGAGAATTGAAGGTAAGCCCAGGTCATGGCAGGAAAATGAGCCTGAGGAGTTTGAGCTATCTCACAAAAAACATCTCAGACACAAACCTGGCGAAATTCATGCAGAGAGTGTCAAGAAGCAGGCAGCTGGCCTGAGCTCTGTGCAACTGCTGGCCAAGTCCAAGCTCCCTCGGCACAGAGCCAGCTCAGGCCCACAGGGGCTAAGGGCCAGCTCTGCATAGCAGTGGGGATACCAGGCAGCTGCTACCCCAAGCTACTACCCCCATCAGCATATCACCCAGTAACTGAGCCCTGAAGAGATCTCCAAATATTGTTGCTGGAACAGCATGATGAACAGGAATCATTATTTCTATATTCATCATTATTTCTGTATTCTGACTACTGCAACTTCCATCAGTAACAGCTGCAGATCACTGCTGCCAGAAAGCTWAAAGCTAAAGCTGCCTGTGCACAATAATGACTTGTGTCTGGTTGCCCGAATCTCTTACCTTCTTTAGTTCCTCTTTTGCTTCACTATCACTGAGACAAGTGTTCATTGTTATCAGTGGTTATGTGCGRACTCGTCTTTATATACAGTGTTTTGGTATGTGGCTGGATGGGTAGATTTCTGCATGATTGCTTTCTGCATGCTTGACTCACCCCACACAATTACACATTTCACAACGATAAATGTCATGCAGTCTTTCTAGTAAAAGGAATTCATCGCAATGTTGTCTTGTGCCTGTATTCTAAAGCAAGATATTCAATGTACAATTATACACAAAATAAGAAAGTAAGGATGTTGAACCAAATCATAAATACTGAAACAAAATTAATTCAAAACACTCACTGGACTTGGGGTGTGGATTCATAAACTGCTTACACACACCTTCTGTTAGGCTTGTACCTAGAGTGACCAGACCTAGAAGAGCCACTTCCTAGCTCTCATGCTGGCAGGGTGCTCTCATTGTATCCCCTTTGCATCACAAAGTGAAATCTCAGTGCCCATCTCCACCTWGCACCATAATCTCCCTTAAATCTAGACCTTTTCACCTAAGCGACTTGCACTGTGAGAACTAGGTTCCTGGCCCCAAAAACATGAGGACAAACATAGCACTGACAGTGAGTTTAGACAGCTGGGAAGAGCATTTGACTGAACACTCCCTTGCTGGTATGAGATTAGTCTTTGGTCAAGCAGTGACTAACTCCAACATTGCATAAGATTTCAAGCGAGCATGAATCTAGCAACAGAGATGTTGATCTTCTGTAAATCACGTGAACACTGTCTCAGGTTAGGAAGATGGCTTTTCATAAACACCTATATGGCATAGAGATTTAATTCCTGTGTGAATGTTTATTTACATTTAAAAATAGAAAGGGCTATATGGTGCTCTGCGGTGACATTCAGCGCTGAAGTCCAAGCAACATTTGCACTGCCCAGATCTCTCTAGAGCCCCATATGGAGGGCATGGGGCTGAGAACCATGAGACCAACATGCAGAGAATAGCAGCGGAGCCACCAAGGGCACAAAGAAAGTGGAAAGGTGCCTGACCCAATTTGTAAACACAGTTCAGAAACAGAGGCACAGATTCACTGCACACTGAACATTGCTGAAGGAATCTTCCAGCCACAGCTGGAGCACAGCAAAGAACAGGTCTCTAGAGAGGGAGAAGAGGAAACAAAAATATGAACAGTTACCTCTTCCAGGGAGTAGATGATCTTAAGCAGGAATTTGAAATCCTTAAAGTTAATGGGTGTGCTAAACAAAGCACACAATGAAGAAGCTTGTGCAACTGGAATTAAGAAAGATAATTATCTTTCAAACAGTGAAGTCATACCTCATTCAGACACGATGTCAGGCATATACAGATTCAGCTATGACAACATCACAGGGAGGCAAGTGGTTGCGGGTCTTGTTTCATATGGTCATTTTCATACCACCGTCCAAAAAGCGTCACAGTGACAACTGGCTTTGTTGGTCTTATCTTACTTATCAAACATCCGTCATTCAACACCTGATGGAAAAAAAGAAAAGAGAGAGGATATAGAGGAGTACTCATAGGAACAAGGGAAAAGCTTACAAAGGTGTGAACAGATGAGGAGAAGGCATCTAAATCACACAGCTTCCTGAAACCAGTGTCTTCATTAAGAGGATATTGAATAAATCTAACAACTCACTATGAGCAAGTTCTCTTTGGCTTTCCTGAGACAGTTTCTTCCATTACTAAGCCCCAGAGAATTTAATGTGAGACAGCTCAAGGACATCCCATTACCTCAAATTCCCCARGGGCCAGCTGAACCCCCACTGTATGGGACCTCTGGAAAGACASAGTTCGAGCCGAACATGCCACTCAGAGAAAACAA